GCTGGTTCTATTCACACAGAAAATCAATAGCTTCAAAATACGGGGGAAAAAAAAAAAAAATGTTTGAGGACAAACTGATTCAGTCCTGATTCCCTGGAGAAAATTCCTGTATAACTGAAGGAGACTGTCACTCAAATTCCATCCATGTTTCTATAGGATCTTTAAATCTATGTGTAGAAGTCTATGGTAAGGATATTTTGATCATTCTGTTCTAGGTAATTTTTAAGCTGTTCTCCCGTAATGTTACTGTCTGTTCCTTTTTGTATGGTTCTTGGGAGGCAGGGGAGAGAATAGGGTTTTTGAAAGCGGTTAGCTCCTAATTTTTACAGTGCTTCTGTAGAAATTCACCATACTTACAACATAAGCATGCAGATTTTTTTTTATGAAATGTATGGAAAAATGGACTGGAAGAAACAAATTTTGTAGAACAGTATGTTCTGCATAGCTTGGAGTTTGCCATGTGTTTTCTGTCTTTCGAAGTGCCTTTGTCAGAAAGGAATTACTCGGTGTTTAATGTTGGGGGAGGGAGCGTTTTTACATAAGTTCGCTATCCATACATTGTGAATATTAACAGCAGAGACTGGTGGTGAGATGTGTGCCGATTAAAAATCTCTCTCTAAGCAGCCTGTATACACTCAATGGCTAACTTAACTCCCTTTGTACTGTAGATACAGGAAAATCAAATATACTTTTTTTGGTATATTTTGTCTTAGCTGTTATGGGTCTTTGAATTAGTGACTTCCTGAAGTAACTTCTCAAATTCTTTTCTTACCCTGCCCTGCAATTCCATAGACAAGTGGAAAAACTGCTCTCTGTTATCCCATTGCTCCTTAAATCACTAACATTTCTTTAAAAAGGATGTGGAGAGAAGTGTATGCTTGCAGCCTGAGTGCAGTAATAACACAGTAGGCAGAGCATGTGATAGCCAAAACCTCAAAGTGTAACATGAATGTCTGTTTATTGGAAACTGCCTGCAGGGATACAGCTATTGTGTATCTTGCAACTTGCTGTCAAGCAAGTTTCACTGAGAAGAAGGTGCAACCAAACAAACCCTGATTCTCCTGTTGTTCTTGTATGCCATCCAGTGTTGACACATGTCCATATGGCTAGTAAACACGAAGTAAATACCAATAGAGTGATGATTGTGGCTGGGCAAAACTATTTGATGTGCTAAGTGGAAACAGCTTCAGTAAATTTATCTAAAATATCTCTGGTAGAATTTCAACAACCTTCATTCCTCAAGATACTTGCTTTGGTGTTGTCTTGTGGACAGCAGTGTCCAGTCTGTACTTGATAAGACACATAACCTGATCTTTCACAGGGTTCAGATTTCCAGGAGGTCTTTCAAATAAGTATTAACAAATTTTAATAGGTCTTGCTATTACTTATTTATTTAAACGTGTCATAATCTTCTTACAGAACAATTGTAGTGTAGTTTTGGATGAATTCAAATTACACAAAGTGGTTAATATGTACCATGTTATACCTCTTCAGAATCAGCTGTGTGTTCTAAGGAAGCAGGACCTAATAAAATATTCTCTGTTGTTTTCACTTACTTAGACTTGAACGCTCTGCCTGGCAGGAGGGGAAGGCTGTTTTGTTGAGGACAGAAAGCCTCTTCATCTGCTGCATAGGCTTTTGCTTGAAGTAAGGTCTGAATGGGGGCTAGAAAGCTCCTCTCGGTCAAATCAGTTCATCTAGCTGTCTGTTCTTTCAGAATAGCACGAGAAGTTACTCAGGGGGAGCTTGCAAGCCTGGATACTTTCTGCAGTCCATTTCCCTCATATTTCCCAAGCACCCAGAGTTGTTAAGTCAAGGCTGTTAATGGGTATATCCTTGTCTACTGTTCATGGTCTACTACACCAGCAGTTACAATGTACAGACTCCTTTCAAATACACACTGTACGTGCTATAGATCTTATTTTGCCCTTTGGAAGCAAAAGTGAGCCTTCGTATAGCTTCTAGAAATGCTTTGTTGATATGTATGTAATTGTTTCCATAAAGCAGGAGTTGGCCATCAGTATGAGAATGTTAAATCTCATATTTCCATATTGTTTCTTTCTAGTGCTAGACTATGTAATGTCTTTTCATATAGTTGCTTCATGTGATGAGATATATTTCTCTACATCCAGTTGAAACCTAGCTGACAGGTGTGTGTAAGTGTCATCTACTATATAGAATTTGACTGTTCCTGTATTAAAAAGAACTTCTTCCCCCAAGAAACACTTAGTGATATCTAATATTGCTGTGATGTTTTGGTCCTTAATTTGTCAAAAGCAAGAATGCTTATTTTTGTTTTATTATCTCCATGTAATAGAATCACATTCTCCTTCAACAGAATCTGAATTTCACCCTGTTGTGTTTAAAAGTGCAAAACTTCAGAAATTGCATTTCATTTCCATGTTTCTCATGTCAGAGGATTGCATATGGATTTTCAAATTGAGGACATCATGTTGAAGAGTGTTGGTTGGAAGGATGTCTCCCCTCTTTACCCTTCCTTTCTCTCCTTCCCAGTCCTGTTCCCAAGAACCTTCACATGTAGGACCTCAGGCATGGCTAGTTCACATAGTCAAAATTAATTCCTCCTGGGCCGGTAGCTTCTGTTCCAGTGGCCAGGACACAGTCCCTGGCCATGCAGGATCTTCTTCTCTGTTTTCATGTAAGTCCTTGAAGAAGTTTGTGTTGTTGAGAATTTGTGTGCCTAAAGTTGGTGCTGGTATTGTATCAAACATAAATTTTAGTTGTGGTAGAGTCACTTAGCAACAAGGAGGTACCTTTGCAAGAGAATGCCAGCAAGGCATTGCTTGTTAAAACGATGAGCTAATGGGGGTTGATATTTAAACTGTCCTAGTTTTCAAACATCATACTTATCTGAAGCTGCCAGTCTGGACAGTGGAAAACCATCTTATATGAATTGAAGACCTGGACGTTACTGTGCTGCTCTGTACTGTACCCCCATCTTAAAGTTTCTTCTGAAACCCTGAAAGCTGTGGGAAAGGATCACAGCTTAATGGGAAAGAATGAATTTTGTGATCATGGCATGCACAAGTCCGTTCATTGCAGGAGTGACTTGAGCAGCCATAAACGTTACATGCTTGGTTATAAGGGGAAAAGGTGACAGGGTGGAAGACAGTAATTCTGTGGTGTAAACTTTTGTGTGCTAATGTGCAGGGAGCTTAATGGATTTGTTGATTTCCCACCACTCCTCCCCGCACTCCCCCTTTGTGTTGTTCAAAGTTTTGATGAACCTTTATGCCAGGAAAAAGATTTTGAAGTGTGGTTGGTTACTTTGAAGTGTGAACTTGTTTTAAGAAAGTGCATGAATTTTTGCCAATAACTCACCTAAAGCCTTGATTGGATCATGTTGTTGTCAGATACTTGGAGTCAGAGTGCAGCATTGAGCAATCCTTTGTGTCCGTCAGTCAGCAAGCAGTTCGAGTATTTGCTTATAGACTTATGTGAAAGAGTCTCAAAATAATGTTGCTTAGAAGCCAGCTTGTTGTCAGTCATTTCCTTTTTAACTGATTTGTAATTCACCTTGTGAGGTGTCTTAGCACTTGGAAATAAAGATATTTGTGATATACCTGCGTTTGTAAAAGATAAATGGTTACGATGGTTACTTAAATATTTTTTGTGACCCCTAAACCTCCCTGTTTAGGAAAAGGCTAAAGGCATGGGCTGTGAGTTCATCAGTTACTTTGGTGTCTGTTGTGAACATGAATGAATCTTAATATGCTGAAGAAGCAGATTCAGAAACCACTGTGTTTCTTGATGCTTTAGAAGTGTATATCTGCAAACACTTCCAATAAGCTGCAGATTTGATTAAAAGAAGAAACGAACACAAAACACTAACTGACCTGAAATATTAGATACAAAAAAACCTCTAAACATGGGATTCAAAATGCTTTGTAGGGCATACAGTACTTTGCTGTGAGATTAACTGTCAGTAAAAATGGGCTTCACTGTAAATCCTCATCAGTGACCGTGGTGACCTTGACTCCTTCCTTTCAGTGGACAGAGAGGATGAAGCAAGCAGTTGGGGAGGCAGGTGATGTGTAGATTGTCTGGCTGATAAGTCTCAGTACATGAACTGTGAAAATCTAAAAGTCTTTGATGTGCTTGGCTTCCTAAAAAATTATGGTAAGAATCAGAGTTTAGATGTTATAGGAAAACATTTGAGTGGTTTGTAAAACAGTGACACCATGCGACTGCAGTGGTTGAAGGAGAAGGATACTTGTAAAACTCTTTCTACTTTGCTTACTCGCATCCCTGTTCTTTCTTCCTTTGCCTGTATTTGCTCATTTGCTTTTCATTTTGTTTTGGGGAATTTAATTAAATATTGAGACATTAAAGGTATTGCTAAAACCAGAGGGCTAAAATGTTGGGTAGGAATGATGACAGCAACAGAATTTGAAGAATGAGATTTCAAAGTCAGTGTACGTGAACACCTGTTTTATAAACAAGATAATTTAATTTTTTTTTTTTTTTTCCACTGGCATTGGTAAATCTGCCGGTGTTTCACTAGACTGGGCAGTGGTTTGCATTTCGTTGATAGTACGGTGCCATCTAGTGACTGCTGGCATGAAGCTGGGGAGAAATTGCCAAGGAAAAATGTTGGCAAGAGCAAATCGCATAGGTTGCAAAATCAGGTGGGTCACAGCTGCAGAAAGACTACTCTATGGAAGGTCGGGTAAGCTGAAGTCTGATCCCTTGTACCTTGAGACAGGACCACTCCAAAAAATGTTCCTTGTCTGAGAGTGTGCTCGGAGGTCGTGTGAGCCACATGAGAGGAGGACGATGTTCTTATACAGCCAGCCACAAATCTGACACTTGCAAAATTTCTGGTTTTCAGTTAGCTATGTAATTACCTTTAGACCTCTG